CGCGAAAGTTTTTTACGGGTAAGTTAATGTCTCGGGAACCACGGAGTCTAGGAGGCTGAAATTTTAGGGTAATGACCCCCTGCCCACGCACAACCTTGCCCATTCAAATTCAGCGTTCCCGCGCTCTCAGGCACCATCTGCGGTCTCTTGAAAATTTTGGCGGGTAAACTATTAACTCGGGAATCACGGAAAGATATTCACCCTTCAAGGTTTCGAATTCTGCTTTCATGCGCAGGTGCGTGAAATTTTTAAATGTTTTCCAATGTTTGAACTATTTTTGCATAGACTGAAGTACGAAGCAGTGAAAATCATTAACAGGTAACCGTTTTCCAATGTTTGAACTATTTTTGCATCGACTAAAGTACAAAACAATGAAAATCATTAATAGGCAGTCGTTCGATGCGCTGAATTGCACAAAACGCATGATCGCAGCGGCTAGTCTTGTGCGCGCTGCTATTTATTCATTTTGCATTGCTTTTAGGTATAGCTGATCTGAAGTTTTAAAAAAGCTCGGAACATTCGGAGGTTTGAAAAAAGTCTGACTTCAGGAATCTTAAAAGTGTTATCACTTTTTTGTTTGAGCACCCCCAATAATGCGGATAACAATCGGACCCTGACACTGACTGGCAACTTTCGTAATTTTGGCTTATAATTAGTTTGCATTGAAACACATAAACACCGTTGCATCAAAATTTAACTTTTTTGTCAGAATAAGATATCTCGATTTTTTAAAGCAACAGGACGGTCTCTAAATTCAGGAGAATAGGTGAATTAATAATATTAGAATAAGAGATAAAAGTTTATCAGGTTTATCAGTTTTTATGCGTTTTGTGCTGTGTAACAGCGTTACAAAACTCATATTGTCACGGGGTTGTCTGTGTGTGTGTGTGTCCCACATTTTGTCCCGCGCTTTCAACTCGGGAACCACAAGAGCTAGGCCGCTGAAATTTTGGTGTAGTGTTCCCCGTCAACGGGTGACGTGGCAAATTTAAATTCAGCCTTCCCGTACCCACGGTAACTC